TTTCATTTTCTTGAATTTAATCAAATCAGTCCTCCATGTTTTGAATTTAATCAAATTAGTCCTTTTAATTTTTATTTGTGCTTGTGATGCACACATGTCTTTGATTTTTGTTCATTTTAGTTCAAAATTTAAAAAAAGGAAAAAAAATGTTTCAATTTGGTTTATCTTTTTCCTTTTTTCTTTTTTTCTTTTAAGTTTGTAAATTAAGACTTAAACATAAACATAATGAATGAGTTGAATTAAAACCACAATATTAAAGTATACAACCGTGTTTAAATGGAGGATTGTGAGGGGTGCACATGTCCTTTCTCACTCTTAACCGAACCCGTGGATCTCGATTTCTGTGCAAATCCGTTTTAAGGTAACTTGTCCCACTTTATAATTTGGACGAGTGGCAACTCTTTTTCTTATATATTTCACACTTAATGTAAATGTTTTTAATTATAAGTGTGATCGTGAATAATCTCTCATCTCTTTATTCCACCCCACCTACATATCATACGACTCGAATTTAAAACCTCTTATTTTTAGTGGAAAGAGATGACCACTGAGTTATTTAAATTGTTGACAAAAATAATTATGCTATTAAAAATTAAAATTAACAAATAAATTCGATGATCTCTTTTAAAGTATGAAAAATAAAACCCACATGAGGTAGTATGTATATTTGGGGACCAGAAGTTCCTAATCCCGTGAACTTGAAAAAATGTGTTAATAAGCATATGAATTTGTTATTTTTTATTTAAAAATGTAACTTTTGTTAATTTTTAATGAGGTAAATTTTCATATAAAAAATGAGGTAAATTTTAAATTGTTTATTTAAAAATTAATTAAATAATAATATTAATGTGACAAATAACTGTTTTAACCATTTAATTAATCTTTAAATAGAAAAATATAAAGTTAATATCTTTAAATTAAAAAAATAATAAAAAAGTTGAAATTTTAACATTTTAATCAATCAAATTATAACGTTTTATTAATTATAATTTAAAAATCAATAGCTCTTTTAATTTTATAATTTAATTAGTTAAAAAAATTAGAAATAGAGAAGAAAATTAATGTTTACGTGTCGGCTTTGACCGAAATGGGGATAGGTGGAACCGTGGAAGGGCGAGAGACAGTGATACGGAGGATGAAGTTTCGTGAAAGGAAGATGATTATTAAGGGAATGAAATAAAATTAATTAATGGGAGACACGGCCAGAATTGCGGATCTAATAACGAATTATGGGACCAGTTTTGGGGAAAACGTTTATAAGTGAGGCCTTAGACTTATATAATTTTGACAAGCAAATACTGATAATATTTTATTGTCGAATAAACTATGGTTCTCCAAGTTGTGATTATGTTTGTGTTAAGCAAAAGGTTGACATTGCATATCACGGATCACCCCTTTGGAAATTGTGTGTATGGAGAAAGAGTATTGTGTTTTGCACTCGAACAACTTATAAAATATTAACTATTAAATGAAGAGATTTTTGCTTAATGTTAATGGATTTTTTTTAATTTAATAAGGATGCAT